CAGGAATGGAAATCTGATGCTGCACATGACTGGTTCAGAGCAGGAGGGACAAGCACCGGTTCTGTCCTCCCAAGAGAACAACAGTCTTTGATTTCAAGACTTAAGTCTGGTCATCTACGGACAATGACTTTCCAGAATGGTTGCAAGGTTTTCCCACTATGTACTAAGTATCAACCTGCAACCCCAAAACACATTATTGACTCTATTGATTCATCCATTGATGTGCTCTACTCATATCCCAGACAGACACCATCAACAAGCTTTACAAGCTTGACACCTTCTTCTTCTTTCTTATCTCCACTCAATCACACTAAGGTATCAAGCTTGTAAAGCTTGAGATTTTTGATGGTGTCTGCCGAGGAAGAGTAGAGCTCATCAATGGATGAGCCAATACAGTCAATAATATGTCTTGGGTTTGCAGGCTGGGAATTGCACTTTGTACATAGTGTTTGACACCTTAATATGATTGAGTGGAGATAAGAAAGAAGAAGAGAAGATAAACCATTTTTATTGGTATTCACTCTTGAGTCATGTTGCTGGGTGTTACAAGTGATAGGTGCACAACAGCCGGCATCCAAGAGATGTTAAGTATATGGATGAGTGGTAATCCATGCTTCCAACCAAGTGAGAAATTATTAAAGTTTTAAATAAAACTTAAAAAATATTCTCTAATAGGACTGAACTTTTGTCAATTGTAGGCATGAGCCAGTTGCTGAATAGTAAAAATGGTAATTTTGGCAATAGAGAATACAGAATTGTCCTCTAGCTAAAGGATACTTTGGCTCTGCAACTAGGTGTTGTCATTTACAGAGGTATTTCTACTTTAAAGAATGCCAGTAGAGGGATGATGGTTAGTGTCCATCAAGTTGACTTGTGAGGACTCTATGGACAAATTCCACCTAGGCCTAGATGGTACAGTGCTTGGAGCTGCAGGTGCCAAGCTACATTGTGGGCAAGTGGGGTAGATTTTGTTGTTATTTTCTATACTGTAGTATGAAAATAGGGCTGAAGTTGGATCATCAGTCGAAGGAAGATGAGAATGGGAAGAAATGTCATTAGGAAGTAAGGACAAGTGGAGTGGGAAGATGAACAATTAGCCTTTTGTAATCATTAGGCTGTCTACTCTCTAAGATTCAGTGGATGAGTGTTATAAATTGTCGCTTTTCAACAGCAAGGACCCTGGATCGAATCCTGCATTGGGAACTTTTTTTTTAATCTACCTCACTTTCCCAAAAGGTAGCTTGGGACATGCAGCTCCAGAACATGGCTTGCATTATATGCAATGAACAGGACCTTTGAGAGAGACCACTGCTTATCATCAATCAGCTTGAGGATCATGGACTCATGAAATTTGTGTAATCTTTGCATTAGGAGATAAGAAACAACACAGCAACAGTTGAATTAATTGAGTGAATATTAGAAAACCACCCTGGAGGGATTGTGTAGGAATGGAGTGGAAGCACTCACTATGTCAGGATGGTTGGAGCCCGGGATCTCCAGACGAGGTTTGAAGTTGGTGAGATCCCACACCACGATGGTGCGGTCGGCATAGGTGGTGATGACCACATCTGCAGCAATGGGGTTGAACCTGACCATGGCTACTCGGGCAGAGGGGCCCCGGAACCTGACAGTGGGAGCTGTGTCTGGGGCCAGAGGTCCGTCAGTTACCAAGGGCACCATACACACTAGGATATCCCCGTTGGAACAGCCTGCGCATACATAGGTGGTCATGATACGACACAATTTAGATTATAAACACAAGTCAGCAGCAAAGGCTTCCATGTTAGGAACGGTCTCAAACTACAGGCAAAGTCAGACTTTCACCAAAGTGTGCCATGGTGCCATGATCAATGAAAGCTGCACCCCTACATCTCATTCCATGAGATCATGAACTCATGGAATTCGTGTAATCTTTACACAAGGGGATAAGAAACAACAACAACAAACACAAGGTAATAAGGCCAAATACAAATAAATAAATAGTGTGTGACGTTTCTGTAACAGCGTTGTTACCATTTTAGACAAAAGCACTGAATTTATTTATTTGGATTAGGTGGCCATGATACATAATTAGGATTACACATTAGATACATTAGGCAACAAAACCACATTCTAAAAAACTCAGAATGAAATGTTACAAAGGAAGGACAATACATCCAGATGACACAAGAACCTACAGGACATGTAACAACTGTCCTGGTGTGGAACTAACACCTACCCACATATTCTCATGCCAGCAATGGTCACAACCTTTCAGAAAATTTACATGGACTCAGAACAGCAGCTTTACACACCCAAGATAGAGGACATTGTGACTGCTGTGATAGAGATGTATGGAGACATCTGAGGCTCTTCATTGGACACGACAACAACTACATCTAAATGAATAAATGATGTGTAACATTTAAATAACAGCATTGCTACCTAGAATCGGAATTAAAATCGGTGTGTTTAGGATTCTACATTATAAACATATAACAAAATCACATCCAGGAGCAATAGACAAATGCAAGAGTTACCGGCAAGTAGGCGACGGTTGTCAAAGGGGTCCCAGCAGAAGTCAGTGATGGTGCTGCCACAGAGGAAGCTGGGGTAGGGAGGGTCAGGGAGCCTCCTGCCTGGCTCCATCTGGACACCCACTTGGTTCAACATTTTTTTTTTTTGCTTATCCCTAGTACACGTGGTACATGCCATGAAAAATCATGGTGGGTAATTGGCGACTGCTTTTTACTGTTAGTGCACCACATGTCTACACATGTGAAAAGCAGTTTGACTTTGCACTTAAAAATGTGCCAGAGCCCCGTTTGGTTACTTGCACTCGCTGGTGGGGTTGGACTTTTGCAAGAATCGGGGGCCATTGAGGCATTTTTTTTTAAACAGAAAAAAGTGCCCAATGCGGGAATCGAACCCGGGTCGTAGCGGTCGAAAACCAACGGTTTAGACCATCCTTCCACCGACCCCACAGGAATTGATAGAGTAGAACCTCATGAGAAGACACTCCCATTTGAGGACACTTCTCTACAAAGGACAGTTTTCCATTTGCAAAATCACCATTTTTACTAAACACAAGGTAATAAGACCAAATCCAAATAAATAGTGTGTGACGTTTCCGTAACAGCGTTGTTACCATCTTCAAACAAAAGTACTGAATGAGAGAATTTTACCACAGCATGGGTGTGGCATTGATAACAGGAACTATTTAAAAGCATGCTGTGGTAAAATTCTCTTATTCAGCACTTTTGTCTGAAGATGGTAACCGCTGTTACCGAAACGTCACACACTATTTATTTATTTGGATTTGGTCTTATTACATTGTGTTTATAATCTATAATCCAAATTGTGCCTTATCACCATTTTTACTATTTAACAACTCCCCAGTAAGAGGATAACTATCCCTAAAGGATGCTTTGGCTTTGCAACTAAGCGTTGTCATTTACAGAAAGGTAGTTTTACTTTAAAGAATGCCAGTAGAGGGATGATGGTTAGTGTCCATCAAGTTGACTTGTGAGGACTATTTGGACAAATCCCACCTAAGCATAGATGGTACAGTGCTTGGAGCTGCAGAGCTACATTTTGAGCAAGTGTGGTAGATTTTGTTGTTATTTTCTATCTTCAATGATTTAAGATGGCCTGTTCTTGTTGTTGTTTCTTATCCCCTTGTGTAAAGATTACACGAATTCCATGAGGTCATGCTCCTCGAGGTCTCATGGAATGGGTTATAGGGGTGCAGCTTTCGTTGATCATGGCACCATGATCCAGGCACACTTTGGTGAAACTTTGCCTGTAATTTGAGGCCATTCCTAACATGAAAGCAGATGCCTTTCCTGCCGACTCTAACATGAGTACAGACGCAGCTTCTCTGTATCCCTGGAGTGGGACCCTTGCTGAGGTCTATCAACTGGGTCAGTTGAAGTCAGGATTTTTAAAGAGGTCTACTCCTCTTCTAACAATGCTGCTGTTGGTCCGCGACTGCTTATTCATCGAAGTTATTCTGCTTGTTTCACAGCTGGCCTTCATATCTGAAGGTTGTTCCCCTATTCGCCCCTGGGGATGTGCCCTATAGCAGTAGCTCTGCCAAGGATGGCCTGTTCTAAATCTTTTTAGTGTTGTTTGATGCTGTCTGAGATTCACCCTCATGGGTCCACTCCACTGTACCAACTGTGCTTAGGTGGGATCCTTCATTTTTGTTTTGGCTATTGTTTCTATTTCTTTAAAAGTAAGTTTATTATTCCGTGGCAAGGGTTCTCTTGTGCATTTTTTTTTTTTTGCTAGCGTATCAGCAGCTTCATTGCCTTCAATGCCAATGTGTGAGAGTATCCAATCAAGATGAATTTTTTGAGAGTTTTTGGAGATAACTAATTATATACCTACTTAGCTTATCTCTAAGTTGCCCTCAAGTGTTGTATGGCACTTCTACCCTCAGAAAGAATTCTGGGGAAGTGTGACATATACTAAGGTAGAGAGATTGACAAAACAGAGTAAATCAAGTGCACAAACAAGTATCTCCATTCCCAATAAACAACCAACCACAGTCCTGTACCTCAATAACAGCGAGGTGGCCCCCCGGTAGATTGAGTTGGAAGGCTGCCCTCTCCTCATTGGCTGCGAACCCCGGGGACTCTCCAGTGACCCCGATGTTGGTGCTGATGTTCTTGATGTGGGTGATGTGACTAGACTTGGGGCTGGGTCTTCCTGAGATGTGGCGGCATTTGGCCGGCTGGGCTGTAGGCAACATCCGGGTGTCAGGGAGAACTCAACATGAAGTCACTTATTCATCCTGATAAGGAAACACATTGTGGAGAAATATCACAGGCGTCCAGGGATAAGTTTCTTTTACAAATTATAATTCAAAAATAAAAAAGGCATATCCTGACCAGGAGCACATGTGCTTTTCAGAAGGCAGAGCGCCATCTGGTTTGGAACAGAAATCAACTATTCATTGATTTTTCCCTGATATTTGGCCAACCCAAGGTAATACAATAAAGTGGCAGGAGGATGAGAGTTTTTAGCTCTTGTCTTTCTGACGATCATATTTTCTACTGTCACCCTCCCAAGTACTGACCGGGCCCGACGTTGCTTAACTTCGGTGATCGGACGTGAACCGGTGTTTTCAACGTGGTATGGCCGTAGAAGGGATTTTGTGACCAAAAGTTAGAGAGAGTTGTGAATAAAATGTTTAAAAAAGAAACATCTCTGGAAGCCTGATATATCTGAATACAAGGGTTTATTATTTTATTGAAGGAAACACATTGTTACAAAATGGACACTTTTATTTTTCCGTTCATCATTACTCTTCATAATTCACCCTAACTCCGCCTTTGCCGGTCCCAAGCCCGGATGAAAAAGGAGGAGGGGGAGCAGTAACAAGCTCGCTAAAAAACATGGGTTCAGCTGGCCCGGCTGATAGTACCCTGTAAGGGCTCCTAATTCAGGGATACAGGATCAGCAGCGTTTGTACTCCATGTTAGGAGCAGCTGCACATGGCGTCTGTTCCTCATGTCAGAGGCAGCCATTTCTTTTGGAGCTAAGTCGGCCTGCCACTGAGTAGTGCTCCCAGTCTTAATGACAAAGGCAGACTACTTCACCCAGTCATTATGGTTGTCAAACAGACACCATCAAGGGTCACAACTTGTTGCCCTAATATGATTGAGTGGATATAAGAAAGATAATTCACCCTTTCATACCTCATCCAAAAAGGTTAGAAATAGTCAATATTTCACCTTGAAATAAATTTTGATTTTTCATTGAAAAGAAACTCATGCGGTGTAACTTCAAGTGTAGTTTTACATTTTGTTACAAGTTCAGTTCTTATATACTTTTTATTATTATCCATAGTACACACGTGGTATAGGCCATGATAATCATGGCAGGTAAAAGTTGGTGACTACTTTTACTGTAAGTTCACCACATGTTTACACATGTAGAAAGTATGATAAGGCACAATTTGGATTATTGATATATACAGTTACGAGCGTCATGCGTTCTTAATAATTTTTCATCTCTGTCACCGTTTGCTTTTTTTTTTTTGGAATGGCGCCCTCCTATTGGTTGGCTATGGTCACACCTTGGTTGGCTATGGTCACGCCACCTTTGCCCCCCCCCCCCACTCGCCTTTTCGTTTATGTAATTATTGTGTTGGAGCGGGTCGCTCCTTAAATAAATGCATATATTAGTTAATAACTAAATGGAATTCTCTCTTTCCTTTTCCCAGTAAGAGACGCCTACGGAAGCCAACAGTACATAGACAGATAAAGCACATAGGCTATAGTTATTAACTAACATATGCATTTATATAAGGCGCCAATTTATAATTGTAACAAATAGTATTTGAATCAAAACATTCAATCGGGTAAAACACGGGCGTTGCCCGGGTCATTCGGCTAGTAGATTATAAACACAAGGTAATAAAACCAAATCCAAATAAATAAATAGTGTGTGACGTTTCAGTAACAGCGTTGTTAACATCTTCAGACAAATGTACTGAATGAGAAATTTTACCAATATATAAAACATGCTGTGGTAAAATTTCTTATTCAGTACTTTTGTCTGAAGATGGTAACAACGCTGTTACTGAAACGTCACACACTATTTATTTATTTGGATTTGGTCTTATTACCTTGTGTTTATGTAGAAAGAGGTTTGACTTTTAAACTTACAATTATGTCAGAGAGCCCCCCGTTTGGTTATTTGTACTCACAGGTGGGGTTAGAAACTAATTTCTATGTAAAAATGGCATACACACAAAAAATATTAAAGGAAATAAGACCTAATCCAAATAATTTATTAGTGTGTGACGGCAACAACATTGTCACCATCATCAGACAAAAGAATAAATGAGAAAAAATATTACAGAAAGTTCTTATATAGTAATATTTTTTCTCATTTATTCTTTTGTCTGATGATGGTGACAATGTTGTTGCCGAAACGTCACACACTAATAAATTATTTTTGGATTAGGTCTTATCTCCTTTATTATAATCTATAATCCAAATTGTGCTTTAACACAAAAAATATGTTAGTTAACTTATGGAAAACTAAATAAATGTTATTTATTGTAGAGGCTGGGGGGGGGGAGTCAGTGGAAGGATGGTCAAAACCGTTGGTTTTCGACTGCCACGACCTGGAATCGAATCCCGTATTGGGCACTTTTTTTCTAATAAAAAAAAAAAAAAAGAATGTTCCAATGGCCCCCAATTCTTGCAAAAGTCCAACTCCACCAATGAGTGCAAGTAAACAAACGAGACTCTGACACATTTGTAAGTACAAAAGTTGAACTGCTTTTCACATGTGTAGACATGTAATGTACTTACAGTAAAAGCAGTCGCCTACTTCTACACACCATGATTATCATGGCCTGTACCACGTGTACTAGGGGATAATTTAAAAAAAAATTGTAGAGGTCAAAAATAAACTTACTCTTTAGGACAAATCCTGAAGGTTTGGCTGGAGGCTTCTGTACACACAGCAGGTAAATAAAACACAGCTTCTCTAAAGGATGGCGTCAGATTCTGACGTTTATTTTGACGGGAGAGGCAAACATTGCTTCCATGGATTAATTTCCTCCCGGAAAATTTTCCATCTATGTTTTGCCAATAGATTTGGCCCAGCCACATTGCCAGCAAAACACCTCTTTGGTAGATTGTGAGGATTCCATTAGATCCCGTGTGGATCTCATGGAATAAAGTCCGCCCTAGACTGACGAGGGCCTATAGCCCGAAACCATGGTCTCTAGGTGGACGCTTATCAGTTTGCCAAAGTTGGTGTTGTGGCTTTGTCACCGACCCAATGCCGCTAGTGGCGGCGACGGTCAATAGATGGCGTCAGATTCTGACGTTTATTTTGACGGGAGAGGCGACCATTGCTTCCATGGATTAATTTCCTCCCGGCAAATTTTCCATCTATATCACAAGAAATATGCTGAGAAAAGCATAGATGGTAGTACATTGAGAACTTATCCTTGAGTGGTATCATTCACTCACTGTCATCATTCTCTTGGGATAAAAAATGTTTCACATAAACACAAGGTAATAAGACCAAATCCAAATAAATAAATAGTGTGTGACATTTTGTCAGTACTTTTGTCTGATGATAAACAATGCTGTTACCGAAATGTTACATACAAATTATTTATTTAGATTTATTACCTTGTGTTTATCAAAAGCAAAACACAGAGAAAGTGATCAACTTACCCCACCTGTAGACAGCTCAGCTTGTTCCACATTTCCATTGGAGGTGTGCGATTCCTTAGGACTCTGTTCTTTGGCCTTCCCTCCTTCTGTCTCCTTGTCTCTGTGATTATTCTCAACAGCTGACTCCCCATCCTGCAGGTTCTCTCCATCCTTGTTAGCTTCAGGTACCTCCTCTTCCTTCTGTGAATCAATAAATGGCACAATTTGGATTATAGATTACAACTACAAGGCGATAACAAATAAACCCAAATAAATTAATAGTGATGTTTCTATAACAGTATTAATGATAAGGTACAATTTGAATTATAGATTATAAACACAAGGTAATAAGACCAAATCTAAATACATAGTGTGTGACATTTCGGTAACAGCGTTGTTACCATTTTCAGACTGTCCTTGTTACCGAAAGGTTACAGGCTATTTATTTATTTGGATTTGGTCTTTTTACCTTGTGTTTATACAAGTATTGTTTTTCTTGTTTCTTATCCCCTTGTGTAAAGATTACACGAATTCCATGAGTTCATGCTCCTCCAGCTGTTTCTTTTTCTTATTATCCCTAGTACATATGGTACTAATCATGGTGGGTAGAAGTTGGTGACTGCTTTTACTGTAAGTGCACCTCATGTCTACACATGTGAAAAGCAGTTCGACTTTGCACTTACAAATGTGCCAGAGCCCCGTTTGGTTACTTGCACTCGCTGGTGGGGTTGAATTTTTGCTAGAATCGAAGGCCATTGGAGCATTTTTATTTTTTAATTAAAAAAAGTGCCCACTGAAGGATTTGATCCTGGGTCGTAGCAGTCAAAAACCAACGGTTTAGGCCACTCATCCACCGATTCCATCTAGCTGTTTTATGATAAGCAGCGGCCTCTCCCAAAGGTCCTGTTTAGTACATCTAATGCAAGCCAAAATGTGTTCTGGAGCTGCAGGTGCCAAGCTACATTTTGGGCAAGTGGAATAGATTTTGTTGTTATTTCCTATCTTTATCGGGTAGAACCCTCTACCTAAATCCTGAACACCCCCTTGTTTGTAACAGTATTGTTACCATCATCAGTCAAAAGTATTGAATCTATTTTCAATATCTAATATCAATCTGTCTTTTGTTTGATGATGGTAACAATGCTGTTACTTAAACATCACACACTATTTATTACCTTTTGTTTACATCACAGGTTTGCTTTACAACATTGAACTGGCTAAAGTCAGGATTATATATATATTGCTTATTCCAAATACATGTGGTACAGGCCATGATAATCATGGTGGGTAGAAGTAGGTGACTGCATTTACTGTAAGTGCATCACATGTCTACACATATGAAAAGCAGTTTAACTTTGTACTTACAAACGTGCCAGAACTCCAGGTCAGGATAAGTATTATATACTGTGATAGTACAAAAGTATATATTGGATTGAAAAAAAGAAGATTTATTTGCCAATATTTATGCCATTTATTATCTAAGGATTTAGATGTATATATACAGTAAAATACCTCTATATCGAACCCCAATAGGACTGAACCTGTGGTTTACTATAGTCAAGGTTTGTTAAAACCATAGTTCACTGTATTATAAAATTTTAAAATGAGGATTATTTCAGGTTTGTTATAAGGGAAGGTCCACTATATCCCTGGTTCATTTTAGCAAAGTTTAACTGTACATGAATTTCTCTCTATTTTAAAATTAAGAAGTTCTATAATTATCTTTCCATGAAACTATTTAAAAGTGGATTTTTTTTTCATTGAAGAAACACCTTTCTCTCTCTCTACTATATCTACTGTATTGACAAACATGCATTCTTTATGAACCAAAACTTTGGTATAGCTACAAGAAAATAAGACTTAATCCAAATAAGTTAATAGTGTGTAATATTTCGGTAACAGTGTTGTTACCATCATCAACCAAAATGTTAAACACTATTAATTTATTTAGATTAGGTCC